AAAAAAAAAAAACCTGTTAGTGATAGTGAAACAATGGTCACCACTACTATGCAAGCGTGACAGGAAGAAAAAGGCGGCCATGATATGGCCCCAACTCCTCTTCCCCCACCTAGAAACAATGTATTTGGCCCCACGGGAATCATGTGATTTCTCACTTACATTCAAACTTGGGCTTCTTCAGCATTTTTACTTTTCTAACGAAGACATCATGGAGAGGATAAATAGATTGGCAAGCCTTTTCTATGTCTTTTCCAATGCTGTCTGGAATCCTGCAAACCAGTAACAGTAAATTTTTTTTTCATCAAGTCCTAGTTCTCAAGATAATAAGGGGATAAGCCATTTCCTTTAAAAGTAGGGAAGCCCTGTAATAAATTTATGCATGTAACACCACCTCATTTAACCTGCATAAATCCTCCTATAAGATAAGCTATTATCTTCCTTTCACACCGAAAGAATAGATGATCTGAATTACACAGCTAGCTAGTGGCAAAGTTAGTAGAGTCTTCTGAGTCCAAGTCTTACGCTTTTTCCGTTACACCCTCTTATTTAACTGTGTATTGCAAGGGAACATCAGAAAACGTTAAGTTTATCACTGGCCATCATCTGGGACCGAAACTTTTTTCATCACTTATTCCCATGCATTATTAATCATGAAAGGTTTTATCTATCTTTGTGTGTCCATGTGTTTGTGTGTGTATGTGTGTGTGTGTATATATATGTATGTTTTCTGGTTTGTGACAGGGTCTCCCTACACTGCCCAGGCTGGCTCAAACAATCCTCCTACCACAACCTCCTGAGTACCTGGGACTCCAGGCACATCCCACTGTACTCAGCTTATTCAGTGTATTTTCCAAGTCGGCAAAAACATTTCCTGCCCTTCAGCTCTACTGTGAGACTGCTTCTTCAAAAAAATTTTTTTTTTAACTATCGCATTTACAGAGTACTAGCAGCTCACTTTAAGTTAGGAGTTCAAGACCAGCCTGGCCAGCGTGGTGAAACCCCATCTCTACTAAAAATAAAAAAAACTAACTGGGCATGGTGGCAGGCCTCTGTATTCCCAGCTACTCAGGGGGCTAAGGCTTGAGAACTGCTTGTACCCGGGAAGTGCTGGTTGAGTCGAGACTGTACCACTGCACTCTAGGCTGGGCAACAGAAAGAGACTGACTCAAATAATAATGATATTTACTGAGTACTTAACACTCTTTCACTTAAAGGGACATAGCTAGAAGGATTCACAGACAAGATTTCAGATCTTTACCTTGTCTCATATGCTTTCCCTCATCTGAGGAATAATCTAGTACTCAAGGTGTGTTGTGTGAGGAAGGAAAGAAACACTTACAATTTATTGACCACTTCTTTCAAGTCATTTGTCTGCACCTCTCGGGTCATGATTTCCATCATCTTCTTCCGGATTTGGCGGACCTGTTGGTGCTGAGCATAAGAGGTCTTCCGTATCTGATTGTTGCGTTTTTTAGTAAAACCAACACAGAACAGACGAAGCAAGTAACCATCGGTAGTCTTGACATCAACATGAGCTTCAATCATTGTCTAGAGGAAAAAAGATACTGTCAGATATAATAGATTTTACGTTATCCATTTATCCCTCAAGTTCTAATTTTGAAAAGCTGGACTGTCAAATGCTCATTATTAAATATATGAAGTATCCTAATTATAAATAACATCTCTAGCTTACAGAATTAACTTTCTTGAACTTACCAACAGTTACCCCCAAATTCTTACCCAATTAAATAACCAAGTCGTCTCAACTGCCCTTTCTCCTTTCTACCTCCATCATTACTACCCACGATCTCAACTGGACCCAAACCCACATCCATTACATATACACATACCCCTTTCAACAGCTCATCCCCATCAAATATAAAACTACACAAGAGGAAAACAGGTTCTGAGAGGATCCATGGTGTTCTATGATATGAACATCTACAATGATGTCATTTTTCAAAAAACTGTTGTGAATAGGTGATTGCTATAACTCTAAATGCACAGTGTGAAAGATTCCTTTATGTTCCAAACCAAAGCCATGCTGATTAAATACCCAATTTCACAGCTAAAATATAATTTAAAACCCCTAATTGTCACAATATTGCCTAAATTGAAAAACCAAAAACCATATTGGGTAGTGATGAAAACTGATTTGCCTTGTTTGCATTTTGTAAATTTTATACCTTTGTATAGGAAAACAAAACAAAACAAAAAAAAGCCTCATCAATAGAATTTACAGCCAAAGGACCTTAACATATTTCTAGAAATGTAACCAGAAAGCTTTAGGGGAACGTCAGGATAAATCTAACGGTATGATCAGTATGCATCATATGGGACCGAAACATTTTGTCCTCATTCATTCCCACATACAAAATATTCCAACTACCCCAGGCACCATGGCTCACGCCTGTAATCTCAGCAGTTTGAGAGGCTGAGGTGGGCGGATCACTTGAAGTCAGGAGTTGAAGACCACCCTGGCCAAGAAGGTGAAACCCCATCTCTACCAAAAATATAAAACTTAGCCAAGTGTGGTGGCAGGTGCCTGTAATCCCAGCTACTCGAGAGGCTGAACCCAGGAGGGGGAGGTTACAGTGAGCAGAGATGGCGCCACTTCACTCCAGCTTGAGTGATAAAGTGAGACTCAGTCTCCCCAAAACACAACACTCCCACAAAATATTCCAACTGGATGGTTAGCCAGACACATCTGAAACATTTTCATTTCATCCTCACAATTCAATAAAATGATATTCTTATCTACACTTTACAGATAAACCGAGGCTTAGAAAACAAGTTACTTGGCAACGCGTGGTGGATCATGCCTATAATCCCAGCACTTTGGGAGCGCAAAGCGAGCAGATCATGAGGTCAGTTCGAGACCATCCTGGTCAACGTGGTGAAACCCCACCTCTACTAAACATACAAAAATTAGTAGAGCATGGCAGTGTATGCCTATAATCCCAGCTACTAGGGAGGCTGAGGCAGGAGATGCACTTGAATCCAGGAGGCAGAGGTTGCAGTGAGCCAAGATCTCACCACTGCACTCCAGTCTGGCCACAGAGCTGGATTCTGTCTCCCAAAAAAAAAGAAAAAAGAAAAAAAGATACTTTCCAAGGAGAACACAATAGGGAAATAGAGCAAAGATTTTTAACCTCACACCACAGGCTCTGCCACAATTATGCTCTATTGCCAGTTAATCCAAATCCACTAAATTCTGAGGTCCAAAAATATCCTGACAGGCAAAACTGCCCACCTGCACCTCGATATTCCTCAAAAAGCCACTAATCTATGCAAGAAAATCTGACTATTATGGTATACCACTATTAAATCTTAGATTTAGCAGGGCGCGGTGGCTCATGCCTGTAATCCCAGCACTTTGGGAGGCTGAGGCAGGTGGATCACCTGAGGTCAGGAGTTCGAGACCAGCCTGGCCAACATGGTGAAGCCCCATCTCTACCAAATATACAAAAATTAATTGGTGGTGGTGGTGCGCACCTGTAATCCCAGCTACTTGGGAGGCTGAGGCAAGAGAATTGCTTGAACCTGGGAAGTGGAGGTCACAGTAAGCCGAGATCCTGCCAGTGCACTCCAGTCTGGGCAACAGAGGGAGACTGTCTCAACAAAACAAACAAAACAACTCAGATTTAAACATTAAGTGAAATATGGTGTGGCAACCTGAGTTAGCACTCAATAATGGCAAGAAAACAAAAATTTAAAATGAACTCTAAACCTCAGTATAGGATATGCTCCTTGCGGTCATCAAACCATGTTATCCTTGGTCAAACACTCATAGCACTACGTACAGACTCTAAGGAACTTTGGGTCTCACCTGCCATTTTTTGACCATGGAGCACATTTTGTCACGGGTAAGATCCATGCCATGGAAGTTAGTCAGGCAGTTTTTGCCCTGAACATCTTCAGTAATTAGCTTGAATTTCCTAAATGCAACTTCATCATTCTGCAAATCGGCAAGACTAACTTCAAACACTCGACCCTTGAGGCCATCAGATGCAATTTTGGTTCCTTGGGTCCTGGTGACTAGCGTCTTTCCAATATTTCTTATATTGAACATAGCGGGTGCTTTCACATCATACCAATCTTTCTTAGAAAATGGATCAACCCTGGATTTTAAGAAAATGCTTAAATTTCGTTGCAGATTATTCTGTGCTTTCTTCATTCTAATGCCACTGTTAATACTATTTCCCATCAATATTTTTAAAAGCTAGCCGCCAATTTGATACTGGAGTAGTTTGTGAGAGGCACATACATAAATCTAGCTCTCCCTACTGTGTTTCACTGCATGCATTAGACTTTGAAAACTTATGCCCACTTCCCACCCTCATCGGTCCTTCCACTACACAAGCACGAGTAACATGCAATCTCATTACTGCTGGTACGTAATGGCCATGTACTGGTAACTAAGATCCCGCATGGCCTCAAAGCTTAGTGGGAGCTCGCAGTTTCCACTGGGACCAAGCAGAGGCGGGACGGACAGGTCCTGAATGGCTAAAAGGGTGCTTTCCTGAACTCCTGCTCTCGCAGTGCCATCAAATACCCGCGGAACTGAAGCAGCCGTGAGCCCACAAAACTAACATTCCAGCCGAGTCGCAGCGGCAAGCCGGCTAAAATGCGACGGGCGCAAGGATCAGGCCTGGGAAAGGCAGCCGACCTGCCGCTACTCAGCACGGAGACCCGCCAGGCCGCATTCCTGGGTTCACCAACCCGCCACGGCCCGCGCAATCCAACTGGAATCCTCGCCATCCGGCCTATGCCGCGACCTAGGACCAGCCCGCCGATTCCAGCAGACCCCCAAAAAGCAAGAGAGCCACAACAGTCGCCACTTACACTTTCTTCTTGGCACCCTTTTTGCCGCCTTTCGTAAGCCGCTTATTCTTGCCAACCGCCATGGTGCTGCTCAGAGAGCCAAAAAGGCGGAAACGGCAGTCGCGCGAGAACTTAGGCGTACGGGGGGGGTGGGGCACGCCGTCTACGTGACCTTTGCCCTCTTATTCTTCCGGCCTCAAGAATACTGCGACAATAGAGAGCGCCACTGCTCCTACTATCGTTGGGAGAGCGTCATCGTGTGTTGGGAGGTCGCGCGGCATGCCGAGGGCTCACTGGAGACTGTACCGTGTGAAGGCGTCTGGTTACCTGTGGTTTCTGTGGCTGTGACGTCAGGAAGTAAGTTTCAGTAAAACTAGACGCCCACTTAACATCCTTCAAAGCTGAACTCACCGTCTAACCCCCACATCTGCTTCTTCCCGAGAGCATTGGCTTTGGAGTCAGTCAGTGGATCTGATTCAAATGCCGGTTTCAGCAGGGCTTTGCTTGTGACCTCTCCATGCTTATTTCCTCTTACGTAAAAGGGGGGTGATAAAACAGTCGGCTAGGCCGGGCGCGGTGGCTCACGCCTGTAATCCTAGCAATTTGGGAGGCCGAGGTGAGTGGATCACCTGAGGTCAGGGGTTCAAGACCAGCCTG